GAGACCTTGTCTCAACAAAAAAAGAGCTATCTAATTAAAATGGTAATTGGGAAGGGAATCATAGGACACTGGAGAGCTACAGCAGAGGATAGATACCTATGGCCTACAGAGGCACACACTTTCCACTCCCATCCCAAAAGATTATTTAGCAGAACTTATACATATATGTATATGTCAAAGAAAAAGGGGTCCTGTTACTTTAAGAGACTAAAAAATAAAAAACTTTTATCACTTCATCCTAGCAGTGAAGGTTTGGGGCTACATTGCCAGCTGGTCATTTTTAAGCATAAGAAGAACCATACAGATTCAGACTCTGTTTTCATCTCTTACTAGTCATGTGCTACAGAAGGATGTTTCAGTCGACACTAGTTCCCTGAGCTTGTAACACCATGTCTTCCTGCACCTCTTCTGTATGCACAGTCTTCTTTCTGTGTGTTGTGTTACTGCAGCAGCTGCTGGGCAGGTGTGAGGTCTCGGAGCTGGAGGCTGCACTGTTGAGGTCTGTGTTTGCACATGATCACCTTCCAGTTTCTTAGAATGTATCACCATCATTAGGGCATGAGTGTATTTTTCTTCTCTGTATAAAAGCATTTGGGCCCTTGATATCATTAAATGAGCTGTCAAATGTTTTTAAGCCAGCCCGTACAATCAGCTCTGAACAGAAGCTCTTTTCACTTCCTTCAGTTTTACTTGATGGCTGTTCACCAGGAGTGTATGGCCCAGCTCATTCATGTGGAAAGTGATATCCGTGCCATTGCTTCCTTGTCACTGGTTCCTGTAGTAGTTTGTACTCAGTGCAAGGAGGAGGTAAGTCCTGCCCTTTTGTCCATTTGTGATGACTAATAGAAATAAGAACTTAAGGGCGGTGCCTGTGGCTCAGTGGATAAGGCCCTGGCCCCATATACTGAGGGTGGTGGGTTCAAACCCAGGCCCGGCCAGACTGCAACAAAAAATAGTGAGGTGTTGTGGCAGGTGCATGTAGTCCCAGCTACTCCGGAAGCTGAGGCAAGAGAATCACCTGGGCCCAGGAATTGGAGGTTGCTGTGAGCTGTGTGATGCCACAGCACTCTACCAAGGGCAATGAAATGAGACTCTGTCTCTACCAAAAAAAAAAAAAAAGAAAGAAAGAAATAAGAACTTGGGAGCATCAAAAAGGTCAAGTGAACTATTACAGTTAAATGTTTCCAAAGTTGTGTTTTCAGTGGGGACACTGTTGACATTTTGGTGAGACAGTTCTGCTGATGTTTAAAATCCCTGGCCCTGGCTCGGCGCCTATAGCTCAACCGGCTAAGGCGCCAGCCACGTACACCTAAGATGGCTGGTTCGAATCCCCAGCCCGGACCCGCCAAACAATGACGGCTGCAACCAAAAAATAGCCAGGCGTT